GGGGAAATCCAGATTTGGAACGACAAAGGGCTCCCACCTGAGTTCCATATAAGACATCCACTTAGGCCTCGTTTGCTTTTCGGTAAGTTATTTACCCGAGTAAATGCAGTTACTTGGGTAAGTTTTTCCTGGGAAACACTTATCAGTTAAGTGCATTTATCAATGTTCTTTTATTTGTCATGTAAATAAGGCAATGACCATTTTAATCATAAGAATCCATTATTAAAAAGGACATTTTTGTCCCATTCAAGTGTTGGCAACTTTACCCCTAGGTGGGAAAGTTATTTACCTACCTAGGAGATGGGTATCACTTACCCGGGTAAGTGGTATCCAAGAAAATAAACTTTCCCTGTCCCCAAATAAACCTGAAAAAAAAACATGGATTCTTGGTCAATGGGAACCAAAATCCTATCGACCAACTTTCCCCCTCTCAATATCCGAAAAAAGAACACCCCTTAAGAATTCAAAACAAAAAATCCTTGATAACAAAAACTTTTCTTAACTAGACCCTTAAATATTCACCTTCAAATGAAAAACTTGACTTCTAGTTCTCCCCATTTAGAGTAGGTTTTTCCAAAGCAATATCAATCACACCTAGGTAGGAATGGCAATGGGGTGGGTTCGGGGCCGGGATTACATTCCCCATCCCCCACCCCGATTTCCAAATCATCCCCCATCCCCGTCCCCAATCACCACCGGGGAAAGAAATGCTCCTCTATCCCTGACCCCGCCAAGGATGAGTTCCCCGTGGGAGACCTGGATCGCCGATTGCTTTTGAATTCCTCATCGGAGAAAGGAAAGCTCCTCCATCTCAAATCTGCGACTGAGATTCACATTGATTAGGTGATGACCACGAGTTGCAAAGTTTCAGATCTGCAACTTGTGAACGTTAAGTTGAGAGAAAGAGAAAAGACGAGTTGCAAAGTTTCAGATTTGCAACTTGTGAGCATTGAGTTGAGAGAAAGAGAAAGAAAGGACCGTTGCGGGCTTGCGAGTTGTCTCACCTGAGAGAGAAAAAGAGCACTGATGGCGACTAAGAAGGGAAGAAGAACTGAAGAAGGGTAAGGTTTTTAGTTTCAGGCGCAGCCCTCTGTTCTTTCTTCTTTGTCCGTTGAGTGTCTAGGTAGTAGAAGAGTCGAGAGACTCTTGAGAGTTTAGAGTTTTAAGTTTTTTGTCTTTTACACTTTTTTAGTTTTTGTTATTTGTGTAATTATAATATAATAATATTAATATATATATATATATATATTAATCGGGGTCGGGCCGGGGCGGAGATTGCATTCCCCGTCCCCGTCCCTATCCCCGTCCCCGATCTGGGATTCAGGAGTAGCCCCATCCCCGACCCCGACCCCGCCAAGGTACCCCATCCCCGGTCCCATCGGGTCGGGGAGCCCGGGTAGACAGGGAAAATTGCCACCCCTAGACCTAGGGAATTTTTGGAAAGGGATTGAATGTTAGGACCAGCATAGAAGCAAAGGCTCTCCCATTGTGTCCATCATAATTTTCAAAACCGGACTAGACCGGAAAAACCGGGAACCGATTTTCCCCCAAAACCGTTGATTTTGGTCAGCAAACCGCTGAACCGGCCGATTAACCATTCAAACGGTTTTGATCACTTTCTATTTTTTTATTTTTTTGTCAGAATAGGCCGGCCATTTGGGTCAAACGGTCGGACCGTTCGAACCAATAACCGGACCCCTGACCGGTTCGGTCACCGGTTCGTTTTTAAAACCATGGTGTCCATGATGAATACTAAGCTCAATATTATATTGTTCGATCGGTGGATTTAATCATTGCTATGGTCAAATCTAGCCCATTTGTTAACACTTTGTTGGACCCATTTGCATTACTAGGACAAAAATATGATAAAATGGGTGTTCTGTTTTGAGTTATACTGATTTTTGACCCTCCTCACATTCCATAATTTCGTTGTATGTTTCAATTAAAACGGTCAATGATCAATCCCACTGATGCATTTTTCTAGCTGAAGTGAATTTCATATGGATATGTGATACTCAGTGACAACACATATCTATCACCAATTTGTATTGATCAATCCAAATCATTTCAGGTAGAAACAGCAATAAAACTAAACACAACCTAAATTTATGCAAGTTCTCTTTTTTTTTTTTTTGAATTATTCAGATTCATAATAAACCATCCTTATAAATTCTAATGGTTAAATTAAATCTCACACCCATAATGGTTAAATAAAATCCCCACTAAGGAACTTATAGAATGACCAAGATTGATGAGTTCTACACTTAAATTCATTAATTTAACACTGGCTTACTTTCTTAAATTTATCCATTATAAAGATTAATTTCCATATAAAAGGGAAGGCCTTGATTCAACGAAATGAAATGAAAGACCAACTGAGCTTGCCAAAATGGAGTTTCTGTGTCTGGTTGGATTGAGTCGGGAGAGGTTCCCATGTTGATCCATGATCTTATGTGTTTCTTGCAGCACCAATGTACTATAAGGGATATTACCATCTGTTTTACCAATACAATCCCTACGGTGCTGTATGGCGGCCAGACATCATATGGGCCCATTCTGTATCAACTGATCTCGTCAACTGGGTTCACCTCGACCATGCCATTTACCCAACTGAGACTTTCGACATTAATGGCTGCTGGTCGGGTTCTGCTACAATCCTCCCCGGAAATAAGCCTGTCATTTTGTACACCGGTGGAGACAGTAAAAACCATCAGGTTCAGAACTTAGCATTGCCTGTAAATCTTTCTGACCCACTCCTCCAATCGTGGGTAAAGCTGCCTCAGAATCCTCTCATCACACCCATCAATGGTGGCATTGATCCAGAAAATTTCAGAGACCCCACAACTGCGTGGCAGGGTCCAGATGGGGAGTGGAGGGTACTTGTTGGAACCCAAGGAGAACATGGAGGAATGGCAATTCTGTATCGAAGTAGGGATTTTGTCAACTGGACCGAATCTCAGTATCCATTTCGCTCGCGGGAGAAAACTTCTATATGGGAGTGTCCTGACTTTTATCCAGTGTCTCTGAACACTACAAATGGAGTTGACACCTCGGTGAATAATCCTAGTGTCAAGCATGTCCTCAAGGTGAACTTCAATTCCCATGACTACTACACATTGGGGAGTTACAGCAGTTACACAGATGAGTACATTCCTGATACCGACTTCATGGACTCAGACTTGAGATATGATTATGGAAAGTTCTACGCTTCAAAGAGTTTCTTCGACCCTGCCAAGAACAGACGGATCTTGTGGGCTTGGGTAAATGAGTCCGATAGTGAATCAGAGGACATCAAGAGAGGCTGGTCTGGCCTTCAGGTAATTCAAAGTATTATATATGTTACATCATCTACCTCCAGTTTCTGCTCTTGAGAGTACTGTGAGAATGCAAATTAAAAAAGAACATCAGTTAATTCAATAGTGAATTAGTGACTCTGATAAATGGTGCACTAGTTGTATAGAAGAAGGAACAAGCAACCAATTTGCAGCTTGAAAATTTTCAAAGTAGATATTCGTTGTTTTACACCAGTCAGTGGATTGAGTCACCAGTATAACTTTTTTTTTTCAGTCAATTCCGAGAAGTGCTTGGCTTGGTAAAACGGGAAGGCAATTGGTACAATGGCCAGTCGAGGAGATTGAAAAATTACGCATAAATGAGGTGAATTTCAAGGGTGAGAATCTTAGGAGTGAAACAGTATTTGAAGTTTCGGGTGTCACGGCTTCACAGGTCAGTTTCTGATCATCTGCATCAATATCATACTGTTAAATCGTGCTTTAGAACTTTTTTTTTTCTTTTCTGGGTACAGTTCATAATTCATTTACCCTTTTCGATCTTGAAGGCCGATATAGAGGTTTCGTTTGAATTACCAAAATTGGCATATGCAGAGTTGATGGACCCAAGTTGGGTTGATCCACAATTACTCTGCAGCGATAAAGGAGCTTCTGTTAAGGGTGGAGTGGGGCCATTTGGTTTGCTGGTTCTAGCTTCTGAAGATTTGAAGGAACACACTGCAATCTTCTTTCGGGTGTTCAAAAATAAAGACAGATATGTGGTGCTCATGTGTAGCGACCAGAGCAGGTAGAGTTAGTTTAATTTGATTCTTTATTTCTTTCTCACTAAACTAAATATCCTACTGTTATGTTCTTGGGTGAATTAGCTAGCTTAATTCTAAGCCCAATGACCTGAACATAAAATTTTAACAGGTCTTCCCTGTCAGAAGAGATAGATAAAACCACCTATGGAGCTTTTGTTGATGTGGATCCTCGCCACGAGAATATTTCACTAAGAAGCTTGGTATTTTCATATGTCCATATTCTGTGTAGTTTTTGTCTTACAATTAAAAGAGTAAAATTTCTTGTTTAACTTTCTTTTTCTGTTTTTTGGTTAAATTAACCCATGATATTGAACTATTTGAACACTAATCATGTGCGCTTTTTTTTTTATCTATTGCAGATTGATCATTCTATTGTGGAAAGTTTTGGGGGCGAAGGAAGGGCTTGCATTACTGCAAGGGTTTATCCCAAGTTGGCCATTGATGAAGAAGCCCGTCTTTATGCATTCAATAATGGAACTGAAAATGTAATAATTTCAAGACTGAGAGCTTGGAGTATGAAAAGTGCGCTTATTTATTGAAGGCATATATATCTTAAACAATGGGGACGGAATATAAAAGAATGAGAAATGACACAGACTAGTATTTCTGGAATTGTAAATTTGTATAGCAATTAACTCTAAGGCTCAGTGGAAAGAGTGCAAATACAAATATGTAGAATGAAAAACTTTGTATTTTGTATTATTTTGTGAGTTCACATCTGAGCCTCATGGAGTGCACCCCACATGCACATCTCATCAGCATGCATTGGGAAAATCTCTCCTACTTGTTGTCATTGGGAGATGTTCCTAAGGATTGGAATGTGCTGTGGGGGTGCATTCCATAGGGCATAGATGTGAATTCTTATTTCATATATATTGTACTGTACATATAGGTATTTGTACTCCTTCCAAACTGAGCCTTAATCTCCATTCCTGTGTGGCATGAAGCATTTGTAAACTTTGAAAAATAATGTAATTGAAACTTTTTGGAAGGAGAGTTCCAATCTACATTCTAATAACATCAACCTCTCTCATTCTTACCTTATAAACAAATAGAAATCTTTTTTATCCTGAAAGATACCATAAAATGTGGGTTCAGCAACTGCATGTTGTCTACAATATAAAAATCACTGTTCAGCAAATGAGCTACCAAGCGGGGAGATACACGGTAAATCAACAAAATGGGTGGACAGTAACTGTAAAAAATGGATGCATGACAGTTGAAGAGTAGGGCATTGATATTGATATCCAATAAGAGTGCAAGGTTAGAACAAGATTCAAGAGTCTATTTAAGTTTTATATATGCTACATGCGTATATTTTAAAAGCAATAAGTGTAAATAGTATCTATGTTATAAAGAGTAGTCCAGTGACCAAGGTTTCTGCCAATGCTGGTTCATGTAAATTCTTCTCATGTCTATCTATGATTCCCATCTTAATGTATATGCTGGCTGGTTCATGCGATATGAAGAAAGAAGACAATTTCACATTTGCGAGATAGAATATCAAAAACTTTAATTAATGCATATAACATCTTATTTAGGTAGCTTCTGATAATGTTTTTGAACTGCTGTTGATCTGAATGGTCAGACCATCTGGCCCGAAAATCATCCATGCAATCAGTTCCGTTTCACTCTTAATCTGTTTTTTTGTTAAAAATCGTTGATTTAGTTAGCGATTTATTGATTCAGGCTATCATACCGTTGATTCATTTGACCCGTTCAGTGTTTTTTTTTTGTTATTTTTATTTTAATTATTTTCTAAGTTAGGACAGGCCGTCCATTTGAATCAGACGATCGACCCAAAAAACGATGGCCAAAACGGTTCCAATTCACAAGATGATCATAGCATGGGAAGGTGTATTCTTAGCCAGCAAACTAAGTTGAATCAATTTTAAGTACTCATAATTTGGCCAAATTAACTACATACATATATATATATATATATATATACAATTTCATCCAAACAGTCCTATCTAATTAACAATGAGCCTGCTCTAGCTAGCCTAACTCTTCCTAATATTTATGAACAACCAACCAGTATTGGGTCCATTTAACTTAGTTACTTATTTTATTCTAATTGGCAAACCTAAGCCAAAACGTGTAAAAGAAAGCAATTATCAATAATGAAATCAATTAAAGTCTCATCGCATTACGGCCTTGTTTTGTCTTTGTGAACTTCATCCGATGCTTTGTTAAAGGAATTCGATCAATGAACAATTAGGTTTTCACCACAAAAAGAGCATAAGTTATTAAAAATAATATAATATTTCAAATCCAAAGCGTTAATTTGCTGCCCCTTCATCGCTCAAATCTTTTGTTTGCTTCACCTCTAACCGTGAAAAGGCAGCTGGACCATTCTTTGCGTGGGCCACCACAAAGGGGTTTCAAGTGAAACGACAGAATAAATAATTTTGAGTGGTGAATGGAAACATTATAGGACTTAAGCTTAAAACTTCAGCAGATTGTTTCCCTTGAAATAGGTCACCATACTCAAAATGTCAACTAAAACTTACAAACGGGTTTTACGCGATTTTTTGGTACTTGTTCAGGAATAGGAGGAAAATTAACAATAAAGAAAAGAAAACGACTAAAATGGGGCATGGGAGCTGGCGTATTCCAAATAGCAACACCAAACTTAGTATTTCTCTACCTGATTTGAACAAACACATGTGCCAAAATGCATATCATCCATATAGGGAAGAATGTGATCTCAATCGAGTTGGCTCATAACCACATTAGCCCGTGGGTGGGCAATATTAGGGGTGAGCATGAATCGATTTGATTCAATTCGGTTTGGTTTCATGGAAGAACTTGGAACCTACTCTATAGGGGTCAGTTTCAGGCTTTCAAAACTAGAACCTATCCTGTGAAGGTCCGTTCTGGTCTTGGTGGTTTTGGGGTTGGTTCTAAAGTATACTTGTAGAATTTGTTCTTTCTTTACTTCATCTTAAGAAAAAAATGAAACATGTTCTTTAAAAATTTAATTTTCAATAAATATAATATATAATTAAAAATTTATATTATCTTTATTGATTAAATAGAATAACTTAATATGTAGATTATCATTATAAGGTTCAAGACTTATAATTTAAATTTTGTAAATATTATCTTTTACATTACTTAATTGTATACATTCAAATATTAAAATGAAAACAAATGATCAAATAACTTAAGTAATTGAATGTTCAAGTGAAACCATGGCCTTTGTAACCACGAGTGCTTGGGTTCAAATTTTCACATCCCTAAAAGTAGTTTGGGGTTTATTTCAAGGAAAATTTGGTTCCAAGGCAAGTTCCACCAAGACCAACCAAGGTTGGTTCAAATAGGATAAACCCCCAAATCCTAGAATCAGCCTAGGTAGGAATCAATTCCAAAAATTTAGAACCAGACCCTACCCTGTAACAGATTGGGTAAAATTGGTTCAAGGCCAATTCGAGGTTGGTTCCATTCAATTCCGAATAGAACCTACTTATTTGCTCACCCTTAGACAATAATACTGTATTTATGTATGTCTTTGTAGACTGTATATATGCATATTGAGAGAATTTGGATATCCGTTTAGTGTTTAGTTCACGGGAATTGAATAGGGGTCTGAAATTGGAATTGAAATGGTCCAACAGGTTCGAAATTGAAATCCCATTTCCTTTTCTGATGGAACGGAGGGAATAGCCATGATTTCCTCCCCCTCCACTAGAAATGAGAATCCATTCTATACAATTGTGATGTTTTGAAAAGGAATATCGTGGACTGTATGTTCTTTTAACGAGAAAAAACAATATTTCCCAATGTATGCATTTTTAGCACTTGATCTTCTTCATCTTATGTGCCATATACATTTCAACGGAAATCCATTAGAAACCAATTAATTTTTATCTTCATTAATTGCGCTCATGTTAATTTTTATTTCACGTAGTTTTTACATGCATGGCTTTGACGCTCAGTAAATTAAAGGCTTTACAACCCGCTCAGACTATTGTATGGAAATTGCAAAGATTGTGATGTTTCTTCATTAATCTAACTAGCTTCTAAACATTAACAAGTAACCACTAACCACCAATTAATCTCTTTCGATCGATTGATGTCTTCTCATCAACTCTAGCTATATCATTACACTGACAACAGCACTGACCGATCGATCTTAGCGTTAACACACACTGCCTCCTGCAACTTTTCCTTTAGACTACTTGGTGACTGAGTTGCTTTTCCTTCTCCTCTTATAATATTGCTTTGTTCATTCTCCATGTGTAAGGCCGACTTCCACACGGACGTCGAGAATTGCTTTTGCAACCAGAACATGAATGTCTCCAGTGATGGCCGGTGGACAATTAGATCTCAAGATCACTCAGTCCTCCGGGTCAGGCTTTCAGTCCATTAAGGCGTACGTTCTTCTTTGGGAAATTCCACATTCAAATGAATTGCTTGTTCCTCTGCCGGCAGTGGCACCGTTACGTACCACTTTCTACGTAAACTTAACATCTTTTATCTCCATCTTCATCTTCTTTAATTGTACTATTTATTTTAGAATCTACTTGATTATAATTAACCGTGGAATTAATAAATAATATAATAATCCCATGCATGCATGATTGATTTGTGTATGTAGCTGTAGCCATTCAATTCAACGTACACTGTAAGTCTGTATCTAGGGGTGTTAATTGGTCCAACCCGATTTAATATAAATTTATTACGACTGGATCAGGTTCAATTCAATCTAATAAATATTTTGGATCGAATTGATCCAATTCAATATATCTAATTGGTTAATCTAATTCGTCTAAATCAATTTTGAACAGGGTCCAATCCAAAATCGGTCCATTTGACACCCTTATCTGTATCCATGACAGCAGGACGAGATTGACTTGAAATTCTTGGGCACGTCGTTTAAAATAAACTAGGGTAATGGAGACCAACAATTCCGACCCATCAACGGATTTCCATTCCTACTCCATTCTATGGAACGCCCAACAAACAACAAACGATGGAACTCATGAGCTACGACATTTTATTGGAAACTAAATATTAATTAATTGTTGGATTATATACACTAATTTAATTTGGATGATTTTACGTGGACGAGATACCCATTAGAAACCAATCTCCGCTCCTAAATGGTTTGGACTTGTGGACTTTGGAGCTCAGCTCATATCACTGAAATCTCTGATGACTGATGACGGATGGGCGGCGTTACTGTTTTCTTTTTTTTAATAAATTTATCAAATGTCTTGGCCTTGGCCCTTGGGGCTTGACTCTTGAGAGGGATACTCAATAACTAAACTATTAAGAGAAAGTTGTAGCTGCACCTCGCCAATCAAAACATGCCATCTGTCTTTGTTTTTTGGCATTTAATTGCCACGTGGAAAATTAGTGCACTAACATGACACCGCAACCGGCATTCCTATATTCGGCAACCGCGTGGATACATGAACATTGAACAATAATTACTTAATACCACCCTCAGATTTATAGATTATAGTCCTTCCTCTTGACTATAAAACCATAGGATAGGAGAAGGGACAAGGGTGAATTAGTAAATAAATAAAAGCCGAGGGCTGGTCATAGTATTTGACCGAAATCCACGGTAGGGTACGTGTAATTTACCTCCATTAGTTATCGGTGTCTCACACTTTTTATTTTTTAAATCGCATGCTACTATCTGGGCGCCGTTCGATTGACAGAATTACGTCATGTGATGATGATGATGAGATGATCCTCTCCTCCGTACGATCGCGTGAAGGCTTAGCTTAACACGATTCGCATTTTTTCTCCTAACAAATGATTAGACAACTAGAAATTTAGAATTTTTAGAGAGGAGAGAGAGGAGCTGTCTGACACTCCATAGTCCATCCACTGTCCACGCCCGACGCAACGATGCGTTGATTTGAATGTTGAACATGAAATCGGACGGTCTTCACCATAGTTCTCTATGTAACACACGTGGGTATCGACCCACGGTATCATTAAGTTTTTCCCTTGTTGGACCAAACTCCAAAGACGATTAGAAGCGCGAAGAGAGAGAGAGAGAGAGAGAGAGAGAGGGAAAAAAGTGGGGAAATAGAGGAAGGTCGATCGGCCGATAGATTTATAAATTATCCAAAAAAGGGTCGATCCTCCATAGATTGGATAAATAGAAAATCATAGCAGACGGTGTTTTCGTTTGCCATTTTTCTCTTTTCTTCTGTTTTCTTTCTTTCTCCTGTTCTTATCAGGATTCAGGAGGACTCTGAAACCAAATATATGAATCGAAGAAAAATCAAAATCCGACCTAAATACCTAATATAAGAATTAATGGGTTATTCATAATTAATTAATCAAACCCTCACCAATCAATCAAACAATAGGGACAAAATAAAGAGAAGAGCAGTAGTTCGCAGGGCGGAGAACGGACGTCAAAGGAATGAAGGAAGAATATGACCAGCAAGTCAGAAAAGGATCAAGCTCATGGACGTGGTTGGCTAACTTCCATAAGGATCTGATGGCGGGAGCGGTGATGGGGGGAGTTGTGCACACGATTGTAGCCCCCATCGAGAGAGCCAAGTTGTTGTTGCAGACGCAGGAAAGCAACTTCGCCATCGTTGGCGGTGGCGGCCACCGGAGGTTTAGGGGGATGTTCGATTGTATCTTCCGCACGGTCCGGGAAGAGGGTGTTCTTTCTCTCTGGAGGGGCAACGGGAGCAGTGTTCTTCGCTACTACCCCTCTGTTGCTCTCAACTTCTCTCTAAAGGTGCATTCACATTTCTTCATTCTGCATCTTTTCTTTCTTTGTATGATTTATATTTGATTTTCATTATCTGATTCCTCGTATTTGGTGACATTTTTTTTTTTCAATTTTGATCAAGTAATTGCCATAAATTTTATCAGTTTATTCTTATTCTTGCAAATTGCTTGCTCGAGCACCAACTGAAATTTTAATATTATAAGTCGTAAGAATGGTCAATATCGCTTCAAGTTTGAGATTCCGTAACCCTGTGGTCATGGATGACCTAATTTGATAACAAATGGACCTTCGTTCTTGTTGTATCAATGAAACATCCATTTGATTTTGGCGCTGCACATGGACAACATTCTTGATCCAATTTTTAGTGTTCTTTTGTTTTGACTCCTAAATTTAAAGGGACTACTTTGTCAAGAATGGCATCTCTATGTACCTCCTTTGGTGATTGAAGAACTCAAAGTTTAATAGGTACGTTAGAGCGTCTGTTTCTTTGTCATTTAGGAGATTAAGCGTCATGGTTCTCTGGCTAGTAACCAGTCAGGAGGTCTATGTTTGAAAAACAAACTTCGTGGTATGAACAAATAGACCCAGTAGAGAGAGAATGTTTCCTCCTTAATGACTCAATTTTGAGAACACCAACAGAATGTCAATGCCATATCATCAAACATATACATATAATTTTTTAGGGTTGCTGTAACATCAAGCATAATGATAATGCAGCATTTTGATTATGCCCTTTTATGTAAATTAAAGAGGAGCAGAGTTAGGTGAAGCAAGTATTTCTCTCTGGCACCATTTTGGGAGAAGTATGCTTACATGTGAGGGAGAGGGGTTAGGGACGGTCTTCACTCTATTCTCATGTCCTTGTGCTCTATAGGTGTTCCTAATTTGAAGAGTGTGGCCCACCAATCACAGTTCTGCACGGTAATGCTGGGAGGCAAAGCATTAGAAATTAAAAGCAAGAACCCATCAAAAGTATAGGTTAAAGAACTGCATGCATGAGCAGAAGAAGATGGTTTCAAGAAAAATATCAACCTCTGGCATTGTGTAATTAAGAGAACTCGTGGACTAAAATGGACCTGACTGATAGAGTTACTTCAGCTTCTTCTCAGATATCCATCTTTTCCATTCTTGATTCTCACAGATTTCATCAGGTACAATGTAATTTCTAGGAGTAGAGTTAGATCAAGGAAGACCTATGATGGGGGGACCTTCCTTTTGATGCTAAAGCTTCATAAACTATATTCTATCTCTTTGTACAGAAATTATCCTTTGGCTGTGGGTATTTTTTGGGTTTTGGTTTATGGAAGTGTTTGAGTAAAATGATGGTATATCTGTTGTGTCTTCTTTGGAGGGAAATTTTCTGGATTCCATTAGGCCAAATAGCAAAATCGGGGTTATAGATTCTCTTGGGTGCTTTTCTTGTTCTTCTTTATTCAAGTCTTATCTTCTCTCCCCATCCCCCTATGGTGTTTCAGTTGAAAACTATTTAGCATTGTCTAACTATCAAATCAACACTTATGAGGTTCTTCAAAAAAGAATACCTTATTGACACCCCTCATCCATGGATACTCTCTTCACAAGCAAGTTATGAAACTTCATTTCCTAATGTCTCTATAATTTTGAAGTTTTTCTTCTCTTTGTTTGGCTTCAGGTGGACAACTTAGGAGGTATTGACAGCTTATTCAAGTTATCCTTCTCTCCCCACACAAAGGGACAAAATATTATGGAGATGTGCAGTAGAGCAGCAATTTTATGGTCAGTCTAGGAGGAAATTTGTGGCAAAGAGCAAACATTAGATGCCTTGATAGAACTGATCATAGTTAGGTTGGTTCATTAGGTGAAGATAAAGGTAGGTCTTTACAGATGAAATCATTAGAAGATTGCATCATGTAGCTTCCTCTTCAACAAGATATATTTCAACTATCCAAGATTGAAATCTTCCATCTCACAACAGCATCAAGATAAAGTTTGATGGGTGCAGTGGTGCAGAATAGGAAACCGAGGAAATTCAAGAGTTGGTGGAGCATTTAGGAACTGAGAAGGTGATTTTCTAGTTATTTACTCTTTCCTGATAGGACATGGGAATTCCATATAGATGAACTTCTATCTTTCCTTTAGGGGTTGAGGTTGGGCCAATCTCTAGAGCACCAAGCTTGAGGTGGAAGGGGACTCTCGGTAGTAATTGGATGGCTGCAAGGAGATAAGCCAGGCCCTTGGCATATTCACACCATCAGGGAGGTTAGAAGCTTGGCATCTAAATTGAACTTTACTCTTAAAGAGGTTCAAAGATCTGCAAATTCCTTGGTGGATAAGCCCGTCTAATTGTACAAAACCTGATATTACATTTTACCCCTCTGTTATTTAAGGATTCCTTGACATACAAAACCCTTAAAACTAGTGTTGTTAGTACCTCTATTAGTACAAGAGCAGTTTTGTTCTGTTAGATGCTAACAGAGAGGTCCTTAGGTTTCGGATGGCTTAATCCTCACTGTTCTGGCCATTAATTTTTTGCCCTTCAAATTGAGTCTCATAATAACCACCCACTTAAAATGAGTTCAGATATCTTTTAGCAACCACCAACATACAGAAACAGTAAATCCAAATAGAGATTCTCAAATCTTAAATGGAGAAGGCCCTACCATCTCATCCTCTCTCTTTAAGTCTTCAACAGACAAGAATACCACGTCATGCCTGAGGAATATTCACTGAAATTCTCAGGGAAGCAAAATTCGGTATCTAATCTGAGTTTTCATAGTATCATCTTAGTCGTTAGTTTGTTATGGTTTTACCGAGTGATTAGGTAGAGTAATCAAAACTCTCTTCCATAATTGTAGTGAAGGAATTCATGTCCTCGTATGAGAAGCACAGTTACTATGTCACTGGACAAAAGAAAGTACTAAAATATACCACTTCGTTGCCAAGGCCATAAGGCTGATCAAAAAGAGCCACCCCCCCCCCCAAAAAAAAAGGCCATAAATAGAGCTCCATCATGTCTAAAGAGAAGATTTTCAGGGCTAGATGCATTCTTTTAGGTTCTCAACAATACTATCCCCAGAAATATAAACTTATGGAGAACTTAGTGTGTATCAGACTATTGTATTTAGGTTTATGGGTTGCCCCATTGCGACCTGGGTTCAAATCTTGGAAACAGCCTCTTCATGTGCAGGGGTAAGGCTGTGTGCAATCGTCCCTCCCCAGACCCTGCATTGGCGGGAGCCTCGTGCACTGGGCTTTGTTTAACTTCCACGCGTACAAAAGCAGTCTCTATGGCTTTGTTTAACTTCCATGCATACAAAAGCAGAAAATATTCCTTCTTTTCCCTTTATTTACACTCACTTTTCTGTATGGCTGCAAGGTGTTGGTTGATGGATTTATTATGCAGAACAAGGTTCAAAGTATCAATACACCCCGATACACCAGAAGGTGAGTATAGGTACTTGGTACCTACCCCCTAAAATGGGTCAAAAGGCTATTTACCCTGTTTTTCAGACAACCACCAATATGATATGTATTGTATTGAAATTTTGAACCTTGATGCAAGATGAGGAAAGTGCTTGATCATTTAACCATGAATTTCGATACTTAAGTCTTCATGCCTGTGCTTATCACAAAAAGAATGAAATTACTAGGAAGATGAGATGCGTACTTTAGATGAAGATCAACCATTTCTTCTTGTCGTCAAAGTAACATGAAAAATATTTTGTAAATTACTAAAAGCATCATTCCTAATAAATCATTGCCTTGCACAGGATCTCTACAGAAACATGTTAAGGAGCAGTAATTCTAAAGATAATCCATTCACTTCCGGTGTTCTTCCGAACTTCTTAGCAGGGGCTGCGGCTGGTTGTACCACACTGATTATCATCTACCCACTTGACATTGCTCATACACGTCTAGCAGCAGATGTTGGGACAACAGAGTCTCGTCAATTTAGGGGCATCTGTCACTTTCTGAGCACCATTTGCAGGAAAGATGGTATGAGGGGGATCTATAGAGGCCTCCCTGCTTCTCTACATGGGATGATTGTCCATCGTGGTCTTTACTTTGGGGGATTTGATACATTGAAAGAGATGATGTCAGAAGAGTCTAGACCAGAGGTGGCATTATGGAAACGTTGGTTGATGGCTCAAGCAGTTACAACTTCAGCAGGCTTATTGTCTTACCCATTGGATACCGTACGAAGGCGGATGATGATGCAGTCTGGTTTGGAACAGCCAATGTACCATAGCACCTTCGACTGCTGGAGAAAGATTTATAGGATAGAAGGGGTAGCTTCCTTCTATCGTGGTGCACTTTCAAACATGTTTAGGAGCACCGGTGCTGCTGCAATCTTGGTTTTATACGATGAGGTCAAGAAATTCATGAATTATACCAGGTTTTAAAAAAAAATGATCAATATTAATTTGGTCGTCCTGGCAGCAGCACTAACATGATCAAACAGAGAGCATTCAAGGCCCAAAAACATTTCTAGAGATTACTAAAATGGGGTTTAAGAGGGGCGGATGTGGAATATGTACAATATGGGATATAGATAAGAAGGCTTCATTTGGAAGCTCCGTAGTGAATTAGTGGTTTCCCCTTTCCTGCTCTTGTTGACCAAATAGAATAGCAGGATTCTTTTATGGGAAGTTCTTTCATGGAAATTTGTTTTCCATAATTATCAGTACTCAACATTCTTTTCAATCTTTATTTGAGAAGATATGATAAAGAATGTAAAGCAGTTAGCTTCAAGAGATAATGTTTTCATGGACATTGTAGGCCTGTATGTTGAATATTCATTATTCAGAGATTAAGCAGCATTCCTTTTTTGGGTCCAGAATAGGGACCATGTAGTTTGGTTGCTTTGTAGGTTCTGCCACTCTTGCATGTGACTTGTGAACTTTTGGCAAATATTGTTTTGATATAATATTTAAAAAAAAAATTGAAGTGCATAAATCTAAATGTTACCCCTCGACTTCTCGACCATCATTTACCAGTTTCTTAGACTTAATATTTATATGGTCTGCATTGCAGATTGGTCTCTACTATTTTCTAGATTTTAGGAAAACTCATACATGGAGGACAAAGGTTACTGTTCTGGGACAATCCTTGTGGACCTATTACTTTAAAGAATGGAGTGACAGGCTGTTTAAAATGACCGGGCAACTAAACATATTATTGGAGAGCTTTCTTGTTAGAAAATCATCAAAACTAAATATTTTCAATTATGTTCTCCCTGGTGCTTAAAATGGACAGCCAAGTTTTTTTTTCCCTCATCAAATTAAACATGCTCTTTCTATGCTTGAAAATTAAAAAAAAAAATGACACCAATTGCCACATCAGTAGAAAAGCAAAAGCAAGTTTATTTTCTTAAAACAACACAAGCTTTTGAAACAAAAAAAAAAAATGGTTTTTTAAAAAATTTATAATATAAAGATTATAGAAAAAATTTATGATACATTGCTGGCTTGCTGCAACATAATTCAAACATAAATGAAACAGTGATATAATAGACACATCACAGTGAACATGTACTTTCAATCAGTGTTGCCAGAAGCACAATTGGAATGGTCAATCTCGTAGCCAACCACATGTACCTTACAATTCCATCATTCAAAATATAACCCTCATCTGCCAAAAACCCATCCATATCCATGGTATAGAACTCCACATCAACTGAGCGCGACTATGAAAAAGAGTCCACCTATTCCACCGAAATGCATGATATTTAAAAATAAAAGAACTTGTGATCAATCAAAGTATCAAACTATTTTGCATAATAGCCGGTATGCATCAAAATTCAAAGGAGGGCTTTTGAGTGGTCAAAGCTTCCTCCCTGGCGTCATGGATATTGCCAAAAGAAAATGAAAGCCGACTCGCAAAGGAAAAATTATATAACATCATTTCCTCTTTTTTGGCAAATTGGTTGTGAAAGAGAAGTGAGGAGCAAAGGCATGTTGAACAAAGCATAGATGTACTCATAAATAGTGAATGTTAAGTCCACAACACTGGGTAACCCAGAGGAAACCCAAAAGGCATCAACAAATTATAACCAACTCTAACCACCTGGACCATATTCCCAGCCAAAGAAGGATAAAACGATAAAAATTTTAATTATAATAAACAAAGAAGAAAAGAAACACCCAAAACTTGTCCCCAAAGAAACACCCAAAACTCTTGTGCCCCCCCCCAACTCTCTCCATTCGAACTCAACAGTTTTACATGTAGTCTGCAAACCAACACCTACTGCTGCTTGCACTCCGGAGGCCGATCACCCTGCTGACCTTCTCCAGTTTGGGCCTTTCCGCTTTTCTGCAGTACACATTTTAGATGAAGATAACAAGGATACACCCAAAAAATATGGAAATTATCCGGAAATTTATACACAAAATAATATATTGAGGGCATCTCTTACCTTGGGTCCAGCAGATGACTATATGAACATTACAAATTAGCCATGTTGCAACAAAAATAGAATATTGTCAGCTTTGAGTTTAGCAAAGAGAGTACATCAAGGGAAAAACTAGTTAGGAGAAAGGAGTTTGACTTCGGTCAGTGCAAACCCGTGCTCATACCGTTCAAACAGCCTCTTGCAACCTTGCACTGGGAATATCTCCCCATGAAATAAAGCACAGAGATATTCCCAATGCAAGGTTGCAAGAGGTTGCTCGAACGGGTGTTGCACTGACCGAAGCCAAACTCAGGAGAGTACATTAAGGGAAAAACTAGTTAGGAGAAAGGAGTTTGACTTAGGTCAGTGCAAACCCGCGCTCATGCCGTTCAAACAGCCTCTTGCAACCTTGCACTGGGAATATCTCCCCATGAAATAAAGCACATAAGCACAGAGATATTCCCAATGCAAGGTTGCAGGAGGTTGGTCGAACAGGTGTTGCACTGACCGAAGCCGAACTCAGGAGAAAGGTGCAAGGTATATACCTTTTTTCTGCCTTTGCCTTCATCTTCATCTTCATCCTCATCATCATCATCATCCTCGTCATCATCATCATCCTCATCATCATCATCCTCGTCATCATCATCATCCTCATCATCGTCATCTTCTCCTTCTATTTCTATGTCTTCAAACTCATCCCCTTGGACAGCCTCTCCCGTATACCAGGACACAGCATGGGGAATAATTTTGTCTCGAATTGTCGACCTACATAAAGAACCAACCCATCTTAGTAAATATACAGGATGAGTTTACAGGTTTAAGAGAACGACCCCATCTCTGAACACTCAACCAGATCAACAGAGGTTTGCAGGACCCATAAGCATCATGAAGAAGTTTTTCTTTTTCTTGGTGGAGTATCATCATGAAGTTTGCAAAGTTGCAGTTTTATTAAACATTCTTTTCACTTGATAATGTTAAACATAAGAGATTATAGATCTAGTGCTTGGGGATTGGGGATCTATCTGCACGAGAAAACAAGAAAAAAATCAAGTTGAAAACTATAACTATAATTTGCACAACAAAGAATTCAGCAACCTACCCAATATCATAGTCTTGCTCCATTTGATTTTGAAGCTCTTCAGCCTAAAAACACATCCAAAAGAAACAAACAAGGAAAGACAATTCACATAGTGCACAAATAAGGCTCATTATTCTTTTTTTAGAAGGAAAAGAGGTTCCATAAATAGAATTAGTATAATAGCAAAACACGAGATCCCTTTTCTCTGAAGTTTCAGAAGAGGGAAACTTACAGTATCCTCATCTATATCCATATCATCCTCGGGAACTTGTGGTGGATCAAAGAAATTGAAGAAACTTTCACATTTTTCAGTCTTAGTGATGGGTTTGGCATTCTTTGATCCCTTTCTCGGCTTCTTCTTTAGGAGCTTCTGTGTCAAGCTTTTGCCTGGATACCATTCAATCTCAGTGCTACAAAAAGATTGCATTAATACAAGTTAGAGAAGTACCCATGGAAAGTACAAACCCCTCATAGGGGGAAAAAAAGTTGTCAAGAAACAAAAAAAATTACCCTATTGCTTTCTCCAGAATGGGTTCATCATCATCAATCATATGATAAATTTTTGTCAGAACAGAGTTCTTAAAATAAGGGTTAGTATCGAAGAAGAATTCCAGCTTGAAACCCTTAGGATTATCAATCCTACACCACTTAATATCCTTGAGATATTTGAGAGCCCCTTCATCACGCTCTGATATCTGATCTCCAAAAAATGCAAATGGTTAATTTTTGTGATGACTAACCGAATAAGATAAATTGGCAAGATCATATCACCATACCTCCTCAGCTAGCACTTCATTAGTCTTCATTGCAGTGAGCCAGAAATCAGGCACTCCTTTCTCTGCTTAAGTCCATTATTGATGGTAATCAGATAAGAAGCCAAGAAAATTTATGTATAAGTAGAAGCAACTAGACTCTCAGTGCAGGTACCTTCTTTGGCTTTGTCCTCCTCTTGGTCCACTGCAGTTTCATCTGTAACACCTTCAGCCTCCACTACACCATTCACAATTTCATATCGCTGCAAAACACCCAAAAGAAAATCAAAATGTTAACTCTTCTCAACTTCTTTCTCTATAGTTTAGTTAAAGAAAAGAAAATCTAATATGATACCTTAGTATATAGTGGCTCATACAGCTTCTGATATTTAGCTTCAAGTGCTGCTCTCTCCTCAAAGAATTTGGCCTCCAACTCATCATGTTGGCTCTGCAAAATTGGAGGGCATTAGGATACAACAAAAGAAGTTCAACACAGGAAAAAAAGGGCAACAGAGGACTACTTGCTTCATTTTATTGTTCTACCTTAAGGATTCATACAAGAACAATCCGGCAACAGAGAGGAGAAAGGAGCTATTCATGATTCATAAACCATGATATTAAAAGTATTTATAAATATTCAAAGCAGACCTCATCATTCAATTGAATAACATTGTAAAATAGTACCATATCAAAGACAATAGACCAGGAGAAGCTAATCACCAAGTAAAGATCAAGACCATGAAAAAAAAAGAGATTAAGGGAAGTCAAGTACCATTGAGGAAATAATATAAATTCCCTTGGATATGGATTGCCCAAATGAATGATGACTAAAATAAGGATAAGGAGAGGGAAAATGGAAACAACAACCTGAAACTAAACAAGAGCAACTGACAAATTCTGAAAAGCTCAGTCCTAAAAACAACTCCTTGGTGGATCCCACATGATGCACTAGATTTAGGGGCCATTTGATAATAGCTGAAGTAGCTGAACTTAATGACTTATTGCTTTGACTTTTAGTAATAAGTTATTACTTACTAAGGAGGTCGTAAGCTCCCAAATGACTGGAACTGAAGTTAAGTTGATTATTATACGCCTGAATATTACCAACCAAAAAAATTATACACTTTAATATTTTATTATTCAATACTCAGTGTTATCAAAGTGTCAAGTAGACATTGACTAGTCAACCAAGAAGTCAATTTGAGGCCACACTAACTGCTTCACTAACTAGTTGGTCAATGCTGAAAAAGTAGTCAGTTGGGATGACTAAGCACCAATTAGGCTTACTAGTTGTCTAACTACTACTCAAGTACTCAATGTAGTCAAACATAAACTTGCTTTAAAATTTCATTTGTCTGTGTTTATATGCGATTTTTTAACATATTATCATATAGGCATTATCTGTAAAATTTCATGCTAGTTGCTTGTAGCATTTGTAATAGTGTACGATTGCTTGATGGTATATAAATAGAAATAAAGCATATGATAAAAGAAAACAGAGTTCTTATAAGATTTCTACCAATCAGAGGTGTACTAGTTTTGATTTGCCACAGACAAATAGGCATGCTTAATAGTCAAAATCGTACTGTTTCTTTGAAAAAGAAAGGCTATAACTCCTTATACTAACCTATCCAGCCTTCCCTTTCTTTATTTTCTTAAAAAAATCATAAATTAAATGTTTCATACCATTTTTATATCGCATATTTGTAGCCTATATTTACCATGTGTATGAGATTGTGTCACTATCTTATGGTTGGGGTGTAAATTTTTGGTAATCAATGAATCAGCACCTAGGCACTGCCTAGTCATTGCATTGACTGAGGAATCCAAAACAATCATTCATCACCATGTCACATTAATAAATAAAATTGTTTATAATAAGCCATTCAGTTTAGCCACTTTATCCATTATAAAATGGACGATGGAACTCCAATCTTTTCTCCAAGCCCTCATGGTTGATTGGATAACAGACTGGTTTTATGAAATGATAGCTTGCTATCAAATGACAAAGGAAGAAAAAGGAACTTCACTCCTAGCACTTCAGACATCATTCAATTAAATGCCCCCCTGAATGCAGTGGAGTAAAAGCCTTGCTAAGTGCCCAACTAAGCACTTCAGGCCCCTACAGGATAGTCACCCATTTTGGAAGGACAAATAATGCTTTTATTTGTTAGAAATGTTTCATATTATGTGTTATATGTTTTATTGCAGATTGTGGTATTTTTACATGTGAAGGCATTATCCACAAATTTCAGACCTTTTTCAGTTACGCATATAATGCTTAGGCATCAACCAGTCGATGGTTCACCTAGGAAGCCAAGGTAACCAGTCACAGCTTTGCTGCATTGGTTATACTGCCTAGACAGTCATGTAAAGCATGGAAAAGAGTGCCAAGTTAAGAGCCTAAAATCTAGGGGTTTTTATTGTTCAGTCCACCTCGTAAATTTTATGAGTTTGTACAGTTGGGAACAGTGGCAGGTGGGGGAATCCATCACAATTCAAGTGGGTGGTGTAGCATGGGTGGGGTTTTGGACAATGCATTTAGAAAACCAATAAAAATTTCTAACTACTATCAAAACAATAACGTGCATAAATCCACACAATGGCACGACGCATTCACCTGCATCAGCCGTCACTAAGAAGATGACTAGATTTAATGATACACATGTTGAAAACAAGCAGAACAGAAACAGACACCCAGTTTAGGGACAAATCAATCCACTCTTCAGGAATAACAACCACATCACAGATAACAATTACTCAAGTCGATATCACATCACTAAAGCATCACATCAGCGTGCAAGACAACAGCAATCAGGACCCATATACAAATTGAATCAAATGAATCTAACCAACCAACCTTTTTCGCACATATTGCTAGAATCGGAGTAATTAATATAAACTCCAATAAATTAACAGTAGTGAGAAATAAATCCATAAAAAATGAGAAAACAAAAAAAATAGGAAGCATTTTTATTTCATCAGAAGCAACTATCGGAGTGGCAAAAAACAGACAAACCTGGATCCCTCTGAGAACCTCGACGCGCTTCCTGACCTTGGGCGGCAGATTCTCCAGAACATCAGGCTGCTGTCCCGCCAGATGCTGAAGCTTGTTCTGCACGAATCCAATAAACCCTAATAGGGTGAGCCAGAGGAAACCCTAAAATTCAAACATAGAAGCCACACTGAAGCATCCAAATAAATGGTATCACCCACCTTGATATCATTGACAAGACCAGCACGATCCTCGGCACTAAGAGCTACAGATGATAAGGAAACAGACAGTGATCAGGGTTACAAATATAAGAAAAAGTAGAGACAGTAAGAAAGAGGGAGAGAGATAGGGGAAGAACAAAGAGTCGGACAGACAGAGAGAGGGGGTTAGGGTTAAAGTTAGTTTTGCTTTACCAGCAGTGGCAGCAGGAGAAAGGGCAGCGCCGAGATCGGCCATGTCGAATCCATCCTTGTTATTACTCATAATGGCGAGTGGAAGGCGTAGTATCAACAAAAAACCCTCGAGAGTTTAGAGAGAAGATCAAAAACCCTAGATATCAGAATACAGTTATGCCAGCACCAGCAGCGGTAGAAAGAGAAGGGAAAGGAGATAGAAGGCGTGAGTTGCGGAAACAAAAAGGAGTCTATACAAAATTAAAAATTTATATAAATAAAATAAAATAAAAGGGAAGGGTATTCAGGGTGAAGAGAGTGGGAGGAGAGGAAGAAGAGAGGTTTCACACTCAAAAAAAATATCCTCTCTTTCTCTTGCCCAAAAACCTAACAACTCATCCCCTTTTATATAATGCCCTACTTTCTCTTGCCCAAAAACCTAACTTGCTCATTCTAAGCTGTCTCTATTAAATTTAATGATTAATAGGGTTGGATCCGTTCATCCTCGAAAGACCCACTTATATCTGGATCGTTTGACAATGTGGGACCACTTCTTGACAAAAGGAAAATCATATAGATGCATACAGATGGAGATATTTGAAATTTTAAACTTCCGATTGAACTGTATATTATTAAGGATGCAAGTCGGGCCGAGATGGGTCAGGTTCGGGTTGGCCCAATTTCTTTACTTTCCTTTGCCAAATGTTTTTTATTTCTTTAATTCAAGGATTTGGGTCAATTTGATTTTAATATTATTATATATAATAAAACATAATTATCATATTTAGAAAATATACATATGCATCAACAAGAATTTAAATACATAAATACATATTCATATAATATGTATTCGGTTGGTCAATGACTCAAAGGCTTAACCCGAATTCAATAACACAATTAACTCAGTTCATATTTTTCAACTCTAACTCTAATCTGAATTTTAATCTAACCCCACTTTTTCGAGTTGGGTTTAAGTTGTAGTTCTATCCATTAGGTATAATCATTTTGATGATAATCATCCAATAACCTACATCTTTATTTATATTTATACTATTTATAAAAAAGCGAATGTCCTTTTTTTGCAATTTTCATTGGACATTTTCTACCCTTTATCTAAGCAGTATACAATGGGCATATATGTCCTTTATTCTTACTCCAAAAACTGCCCACTTATAACTATTTAAAAACCGTCCATAAATTATAAATAGTTTTGTCTTGGAGATGCTGTCACCTGAAAATGCACATACACATATCCTTACACTAGTAAATATAATAACCGCTTCTATTAGTTTTTGTGTATAATATTTTTGTATATTATTCAAGGTGTATATTTTTTGTATTGTTAAATAATTTTATAATTATTAAATATTGCACGTGACATGCGTGCATGTGAATGTAAGAGCTAATAGAGAATGCACACAAATGAGGGCTATTCGTTTATATGTGGGTGGGAAACATATAAATAAATGTGTTAAATAATTAAATTATATAAGGAGCAGGAAATAAGATTTCTATTCACAAATGGAATCTTAAAAAAAAGGAATATTATTACGAGTTAAATTAAATTAATTTTTTATATAAATGCCATTATTATAGTTTGGATGCTTACCTTTTTATCTCCATATTCCCTATGTGTATACAAAATATGAAACGTGCATTTATTTACAAATAATAAGACTAAAAATTAAAATAATTAAGACTAAAGACGCAATTTGACAATGTCTGAATTGACTCAATTGAATTAATCATGTGATGAAATATTTGATGATATTGATGGCACTGTTTGATGATAGCTGAAGTGGCTGAACTAAGTGACTGTTTGAAAATTTGAAAGGGCTTTTATGCTGTGGCTTTTCAGCTTTGGCTTTGAGAGGTGGGAATCATCTATAACTCTATAAGCCTATAACTAATGTTACCAAGAGAGCCAAATTTAGTCATTGTACTGGATCCATTTAAGGGGCTTTGCAGAGTGGAGGCAAGCCTCCTTCAGTGGTTTTCCGGAAGCAGCTGGCCCAAAAATGGTTATATACAAAGCTAAGTTCTATTCATTTTCACTTACTTAGGTAAATATATTTAGTCGGGTAAATGTTTTTTAGATTTCACTTGCTTGGGTAAATGAGGTTCCAGCATTTTTGTATGATACATGATACGTATATAAAGAGAGAGGTAGGAGGGAAAGCGTGTCATCGATATGTGGATAAGTTACTCTCTTTTCACGAAGGTATGAGGTATATGGGTAACTGATATTCTCTTCTCTGGTATCTTAGCTTACTATGGGACCCAATATGGCCGCACACGAACACAAAGATTGTGGTCAATTGCCCAATTAAACAACTTAGCTGCCACTAAATACCAACAAATGAACGGGACCTGATTATTATACCTTAAAAAATTTTAGGGGTTTTTACTGTTTAGTTCATTTCTGAAATCCTAATTCCATTATATAATTGGGGGTAGGTGCCAGCTTGGAATTAATACTAATTCATGAGCGGGTATAACTGTTATAGGTGGAGGTATTTATAAATTTAAATTGTTGTAGGTTTGTAATTCTAATTAGAATTTTGAGGTGGATTGCAGTCTAAAAATCTCAATATTTTATTGTATAAATGGATTCTCTCAGCTACTTCACACATCGTCAAATGGATTCTCTCAACTAGGGAAAGACAATATAAAATGAGAGATGGGTAACTCAGCTATTTCAGTTATTTGGTGAGAACACATCTTTTTATAAAAATAAAGCGAATATTTTTTGACATATTTTGCATTCAAAATGAAATTAAACTTTTTCGGTCCAAGTTAGCCTTATAAAAAGTTAGATTCTATTCTTGTATGTGCACCCATCACAACCAAACAATACCAAATTTGCATTCTCACTTTTTGACCAAATTTACATTAATATTGATATGCATGCCTTTTACACTCTTATCAAATGCAGTCTTAATTACTTGGGCTTAATTTGGAAGGAGTATAAATATAAATTTGTAGAATGCAAAACCTTATATTTTATATTATATATATATATATATATATTTGTGCAGTACATATTTATATTTGTATTCCTTCCAAACTGAACCTTAATTTTTACATTTTATTGGCTGATTCTATTTGGGAGGTGAAGAAAAAAGTAAGCATAAAATTATCTTGACTGACTCTCAGGCAATCAAAGTTTCATTTATATTAGAATCCAGCTAAAAACAGCCCTTATATTTTAATGAGAATTGTTACAAACAAGAAAAGAAAGAAAACCTGGTCAATTAATAAAATAAAGATTATCATATCTACTAGTCCTAGAAATAAGATAATTACACATTCAAGTACAGGCACGTTACAAGGCAAAAGAAGTGATTCCAAACAACTACAGTCCCCATGAAAATGAATGCAAGAGACAGGCGGAGTAAATCAATGACTGAATTCATAATGCACTTCATGGGCTGTCTGACAGTACACATCATGCTCTGTAGGAGGCTTACCAAGTAAAAATTAGAGAGGAATTTAGAACAAATGTTTTTTTTTTTTACCTCCCATTTCCCTTTGATTGTTTTCTTGCCATCTGTCAATTCTTTTTTTCTCTCTCCTCTTGCACTTTCCCACGCAAAATAAATGTTTGTGTTTGCATCAGCAACAAATATAAGTGGCCCCAACAGACCAGTAGTACGTACTATTCTGAGTACTATTGGATAAGTAATCACTGGTTTATTTGTTTAAAAGTTGCAATTCTATTTCCGAACAATTCAAAACTTTGGGAGGTGAAGTACTTTGGAAGATTAGGCCTGCAAATTGGGTATGGCTACCTGCTCTACTAGAATAGTGTTGGTGGTTGTGGATTGTGGTGGTACACATTACCAAAGTCTAGCAAAACTCACTATGAAATTCAAAATATTACAAGATATGATAAAGTTGGATCATGTATGCATGTCATAATCCAACCTCAATCAAAGGCTCCATTTTTTCTATTTCTTTACATTTTACAAGCACACTGTGAACCACTTAGCCTTTGGGTGGACCTGCTCCACTGGTTGGGGCCTCCTCATATTAAATGTGCAGATATAGAGTTTTTTTTCTTTTAGTAGAAGAAGAAAGGGTGAGAACAGGGTGCACACAAGGTCCAATGGCCTTACCACCTAGATATTAATACTTTGAACCATATTTATGCTTTATTCAATTTACAATTGGATCTGCCAAATGCCATTGCATCACCTTTTTTTAGTGATTCAACCTGTTAACGAAGAGTAAGTTTCAGAATCAATTGGGATGTTAGACTTAGAATGTACACATGAGAGCAAATGGTAAGCTCCGGAATCAATCCGGTTCCAGTGGTTGCAGTTTGCTAGATATAGTATCTGCATTTGCATTAGAATCCAGCTCATTTGATTTGGTATTGGGAGTGTACATGGGCCGTGCCTGGTGGTCCTACCATTGGACACAAATTGTGTGGGCCCGGTCCTAGTCCGTATGTCAGTTCTCAGCAGGGAAAAAGAAAGATGACAACTCACAACTAACAGCATTAGTAAATTGTAACGCTTGGCAAATGGGGATGGTGGGCCAAAGTGAACAATGAATTAATAGGTTTCATTTTTTCATTTTTTTTTTCTTCATGAAAAAGTTGTACAAATCAGATAGGCTAAAAACAATCCAACCAGTTACCAAGCAACCATCTGATTATGGGTGGGATCCAATGTTTTCAAAATCGGGCTGGACCGGAAAAACCAGGAATCGGTCACTTGACTGGTTCTGTTTTAGCCTAGAATGTCTTTTAACTAAAAATCGTTGATTTGATTAGCAAACCATTGACCTGTGCAGTCGAACCGTTCAAACAATTTGAACTGTTCAACAGTTTTTGACCATTTTTTATTTTTTTTTATCAGAACAAGCCATCCATTCGATTCAAAGGATCAGACCATTTAACCCGGGAACCGGACCCCTGAACTACTCATTTTAAATACCTTTGTGGGACCAATTAATTAAAGGGTATGCTCTGATTTTTTTTTTTATTTACGCAGCATTACTCAAATAAGATTCCAAAATTAATCTTATATAACCCTTCAACACTGCGTTTATGATCAATTAATATGGGGGGATTGGTTGACATTATAGCATGTTTCAAAGAAACTGCACATGCTCCACTCTTTCGGCAGTGCCGTGCCTGGTTGTTGTACAGAACATGAAGAAAACGGAAGGAAATAATATGACAGAAAAAGCAATACCATCCCTTTTATTAGGAACAACAACGGGTTGGGTACTCATGAAAACTTTTTTTTTTTTCATTCTCGAATTCACCAAAGCATTCTTTGATCTCAAATCCGTTTAACAAACATGTCCCTAACTCAATTCCATTAAACCCATCATAACCCGTCTCACTTGATTATATGATGTTCTTAAGCAGAAATGGTGTGATAAGCCAATGAGGACTATAATGGGAGACAAAGGGAAGGATTTGAATCCAGACCAAAAAAGGAGTTACGCAACGGGAATAGCCCATTCCCAAATGTCAGCAAGACACTTTAAAAAAAAAAAAAAAAAAAAAAAAAAAAAAACAAATAAGAAATAGAATTGGGACGGATTGAGTATCCAAAAAAATCCCATGATCAGCATCCTACCTTCTCCAAGCACCCTGTTGGGGTTAACAATCACATTCAGCCACATAAAATGACAATTAAAAAAGAAAAAAAAAATTGGTCACAACAGTCAAGACCCAAGACCTACCTAAACGTAAAGTGCCCACCCACACGTAGACCTTTTGATTTTTGAAATCATCTTTGATTAACTAATTCCAAATTTTATCAAAGTTGGTTGCCATATTTATTTTCTTAATGCTCCGTACTTTGTTTTTAACTTGAGCAGTCGACCACCGGCCACCTCATACGTCCAATCAGTTCTAATTCTTTTGTGTTTGCTTTCTTTTTTTTTTTAACTTTATAAAACAGCTGTTCTAGGAAAAACGAATTAACAAACGTATGAGCGAAGGCTCAAAAGAATCTTAGGTGGTGTTAACGTGCAATTGGTTATTAGGAGTAAATAAATCCTAAAATTCATTAGTTCCTTCACTTTTAAAGCATGGTATGGTAGTCAGCCAAACTTTTTACTTTTTAACTACCCTTTATAAATTCTTCTTTGGCTCTGTTTGGTGATAATGCAATTTCATCTGTACTACTGCAAATTTTGGTTCATTTTTACTTCATGTTTCAGTTATTTTATTTGCACTACAAGTAAACAAAATAAAACTTGGCTAAGATGGTAGTACTAACCCAGAACTTGCATTCAACACGTTTGCACTCTCACTCTTTTTTTTTGGTACTAATGCAATAAAATTGTACTGCAGATAAACAAAGCCCAAATAACTCACAATGAGAGTATGTTCCATTAAGTTAAAGCATAATCAGCAATGCAATGTGTGCATAATTCTTCTTCAACAGGGATTAGTGAAAAGCCAAATTTGAAGGCTTAATAGCTCAGGGCCTGTTTGGAAGGGCTGAGCTGAAGATTCATCTAAACTGGTTTATAAGCTGTCAGTGTAGGGTCCATCTTGAAAAGAGGCGGGCTTGGGACTTCAAATTAGCTGGGAGAAGAAAAAGTGACTTTTTACTCTCTCTCTCTCTCACTGACACACACAGCTGGCTCAGCTTTGTATCCTTAATCAATTCAAACTTCAAAGTTGCAAGCAACATAACTGGGCCAGAGTATCAGGTTGACCATATGAATGAATCAGGCAAATCAGTTTGCGATTGAGACTTCTGACACATTTTAAGAGAAAGCAAGTTTGGTGGTCTTTAATAGCAGTAACATTAGTATGGTAAATCTCACAAATTTATGGCATATACATAGCTTCTCTAGTTTTGGGTCCACACATCCAAATGGATGATATGGTATACCAATATAAAATACAGGTGTTGAACTCAATTAACAGAAAAGGGAGATTGTGTGGTTATACACTTAAATAAACTGAGTGGCTCTGTAAGAGGAGAGAGAGAGATGACTAGTGTGGGGAGAGAAGAAAAATAAATGAACTAGAATTTTGGGATGGTTATATTGACATGAAACCAGGAAAGTATCGGCACTATATGGTAAAGATAAACCACCTGGGATATAGAGATGAAAAATCTCATGACAAAATAATCAGACATCTACTTGGTGAGAGATCAGAGATTTAGTGTTGATGCAATTGATGGGGATGACCATGGAAGTAGCACTTCTTTGGTCAGTAAGTTCTATGTGGTTGTGCTTTTCATATAACTACTCCATGTTTATGAGGTACATTTGGGGGGTGTTTCCTAATGTGAATTGTTTTTTCTTATTGTTAGTTTCAAAAACATTGTCAAATAAATAAATAAATAGAGTTCTAAAAACAAAGCAAACCCATCTGGTTTGAAAACAAAGTGTTTCTGAAAACATTTTCTTGGTCCTGCATGTGTTGGTGTATCCAACACTGGAACCAAAATCGTGTTTTTGAATTTCCAGTTTAAAGAACATGTTTTCAACAGGTGATTGATATTATGTTAGATAGAGGATATAATATCTGTATTCCAAAATTTTTTTTTTTTTTTTTTTTGCGTTCTTGAAACCACTATTTGGATGGTTTTAGAAACATGTATTATTTTTCAAAATAAAACCAACTTATTTTTGCTTCTCAAAACAAAAACATAGTTAACATGTTTCAATTTTTTTGCTGATGTGGTGATTCTAAAAATTAATGTAAATAAAAAAGAAACCCCCTTGGTCTCATGCCAGTGGAAACTATACAATTCAAGGTTTTCAATTGTATAAAAGTTTGGGGTTTTATTTGAACTGAACCTGAACAAAACAAACTTTTCTATTTTTTTTTCAGAAGTTCCAGCACATTATCTATCTATATATAAAATTATTTAGTTATGCTAATGTATAATGTTTTCTTCTATATTCACAGTAACACAAGCCATCGTTTTCTTTTAAAACCATTTAAATGATTCTCAAAATGGATTATTATATATAGTATATAGTTTGTACTAGTCTTTTTCTTTTTCATTTTGACTATTTTATTATAAATATAGAAAATTTTCAGTGAAATGTTAAAATTTCATCCAAATTGTGGAGAACTTTATTCTGTTCTCTTGACATGAAACTGAAATTTAGAAGAAATTAAAATCATTACACAACTTAAGCACATTGAAATTTATTACACTTTTATTAATCAGACAATACATTCATAACATTGACAAACAACAATCCAGATGGTAAAAAAAATTTCAAATCCAGCTATTTGAAAATAATTCAAGCACAGTACCATGCCACAGTGCTTTGTATCAAAGGCCCATCCAATACCTTGCTTTGCCACCAAAATCAAGACTAAACATAATAAGAATATTGTTTGGGTTTTCCATTTTCACAATGATCCTGGATAATGTTTAGACTAAGTCAACCCTGTCAAAGCTACAAACTTTGAGGCTTTCTATAAACTAATCAAAATCGTAGTGGAACCATGTCCTTCGTTACAGTAAGTTGTTAAAGTGACTAATTGGTGGAGATCATAACAACAAGTGGAATATTTGACCATATTGACTCATTTTGTTAATCATCTTGACTTTTATTTCCTTCTTTCATATTGTTTGATACTAGTGCGTCTATGTATATGTGGAAAACTAGATCCTTTAAAATGCTGGTTTTCACTTGATGAAGGCAATTTTCCTATGGGTGCTGGATAAAGTCTGCACAACTTACTTTGTAAATGGCACCTCAGATGAACATTAGCTGGACAAAGCCAATTTACAAATTACTGTACAGGTAAAAAAATACTTAAAGGCGGTATTCCAAAAAAGCAGTTGCATGGAGAGAGAGAGAGAGACCATCTTTGTGTACCCAAACCAGAAAATTAAGGTGGTATTCCAAATTCCAGCTTTAATACCTGAAAATTCAACCTCTTCTTCAAGCTACATATATGTATACTGAATGGAATGTTAGACTTGACATGACCAAGTAAAACTGTATAAGGGCCAAATGAGAGAGTAAGAGTAAACTCATAAACTCAAAATCCCCCCCCCCACCCGAGCCAGGCATGAACATGCTCTCATTGATGAATACCATGCTGTGAACATCTTGCAGTAATGGCATTTTCTTATAGTCAATATTAATGAATATCATGTGAAAAAATGCTTCTAATTGCAATACTTTCAGGAATGAATGCACCTATAAATTCACACCAATGTGGTTTCCATAGAGTAACCCAAGCCCCAAGGCCAACCTGTGCACCAATATGGACAATTCGAATAGCATGCCACCTCTTTCTGGACATCATTTCAGATCAACCCAACTAAAAGATTTTGAATGTGAAAAAATGAAAGAAAAAGAAATATCTGAAACCAATAAATGATCCACTATGTTTTGAATTAGAAATGAGCATCCATTAATAATTTCTATCATAACAATAATCAGCACTTCATGCCTACCATGTGAACAATGAACTAAAATGAATAATCAAGTTGGTTGCAACTTAAAAAAACCCAACTTGGGACCCAGATGCATAATACATATCATTCTTAAGTGGAAAAGGCAATTCAGATACCATTATTACATGAATCATAGGAGGTAATTTACTAATTTTCTGAGGATTGCAGTTTTGTTTTCAACGCTTCAATGACTGCTGAGAAATCCTGGTCATTGAGACCATGAGATTTCGCTACCTTGTAAAGTTCATTTGCAGCTGCTGCAATAGGAGTAGGCTGGGAAACAGACTCTGCTAAACCTAGAGCAAGTCTTAGGTCCTGCAATTATAATACATGCTATTAAGGAAGACTTTCATTCTTCTTTTCAAAAAAACATGACAATATGACGGACCTTTTGCTGATGCTTCAAAGGAAATGCAGTTGGATATGTGGCTTGAACCATTGAAGGACCTTTGGTTGAGAACATTGGTGCACTTATGGCACCTTGTGAAATTACCTACAGAAATATCAAGGTCAGATGGATTTAAAGAAAAAAAAATTGATTTGAAAGAGGGAGTCTAATCAGAATCAGTGCAGATACCATGGACTAGAGAAATACCTCAACTAGAACATTTGGATCCAGACCAACCTTCTCAGAAAGGATTAAACCTTCTGAAAAAGATGCCATCATACTGCACAGTTTAAATTTATAATTAATGAAATAAGCTCAGTTCATAAACCCATAAATATAGTGTATGGTCTGATTGATAAAATGATTAATCGAACCTCCCCATGATCATGTTGACAACAAGTTTCATTGCTGCTCCATTTCCAACATCCCCAAGGTAAAACCTTGACTGCAGAATAAAAAATAAATAAAGTACAAGGAAAGAGATAACAATGTCACATGTTCAGGTGAAGAGAAATGGATTAGGGGAATGTGAGAATACCTTCCCCATGATGTCTAAGAGTGGAGCAACAGTTTCATATAGAGGTTTATCGCCTGTAAGATTGCAAAAATAGCTCATTAGAAAATCCTTCTTAAGTTGTATTCTCTCTCTTATAGGACTGTTTTTCTCTTGTTTTCAGTAAAGAAATATAAGTGAAGCTAAAATGACAAAACAAAAAGAAATATCTGGCTAGACGATAGCAATGTGAATTAAACTGATTGGGCATAAGCAGAATATAACTAGATTTTTTCAATAGCAAACTATGGTCTTTGAGTTGAAAATTCATGCCAGCATGTACAATCACCTTGAGTCAGTAGAAAACTAACAACAATAGACTCAAATATTAAATGCATATTAACTAATAGAAATTACCTGCAGTTAGAAATATCAGCTGCCCATCTTCTGCAGGCTTTTTGGAGCCTGAAACTGGAGCCTATTAAAAAAGCACTAAATCTAAACGGAAATCCTTTGACAGATTATATCAAGTCACTGATGCACATAAAAATAATGACACAACTCTTCCTAGCCAGGTTATTTACTTAAGCTAAAGTTTTAAAGAACAAGAAATAGAAAAGCTTCTTACCTCTAAAAATAATGCCCCAGTAGCTTTAATATGTTTGCTAATCAATTTGGAGGTAACACCATCAACTGTTGAAACATCCACATACCTACCAATATTCATACAAAAGGAGGTATTTTGAAAATTAAGTATGCACTAAAATACAAGAGTACAGTTAGGAAGAAAGATAGTTGCAGTCTCATTAACATATGTGTTGTTTAATGCATAACAAAGGCACTTTCAGTAAGCAAAATACACTTGTGTGTCAATGCCATGAATATACAAACGAATGTTAATTGTTCACACAATCAAGGCTTCATCCTGCATACATATGAATGAAGATCCCAAGGACTTGAAGCTTTGAAGGGCCTAGAATTCCTAATATTTGGTCTCACCGGCATTTCATGAGGAAATATGCCCTAAATACTCCTATAGCAAAACAACAAGCATTGCTTAAGTTTCTTATTTTGAGATGCCAAAGGTTTAGAATAGAAATAAACCACATCAATAATCTATTAAAAGAGTTACAAGAAAAAGGGGTTCCAAATATACCTCTATACTAGCTTCTCATTAATAATGAATATTCTTTTTTCATGTTAACCTACCTGAAGATTATATACCATCAAGAGTATTATTGTTGGTGGACAGAGTCGGCATACATTGTGCCCAACAAATTGTTCCATTCACAAATAACCACCAAAAGACAAGAACAAAGACAAATAACAAATTTTATAAAACTTTCCAATTTGATCAACTAGTGTAGAAAACATGAAGAAATTGAAATAAATAGAAACAAAAAAAAATAATAGTTGGGTCTAAGTGAAAAAAAAAAAAAAAAACAAAATACAGGCAACTGCACAACAATGGATCTAAACTCCAGTGTGATTAGGCTTATAAATAATTAAAGAAACATGAACTGGTCGCTAAACCTTTGTATGAAGGAAAAAAATACATATTTATCATTCATGCGGTAGAGAACTAAATGATTTATGGTCATGCCCTCACCAACACATGTTCTTGTTGATCACTTGAAGTAATCTGATGAGTCAAAATTGATTCTATATATATATTTTTTATCAGTGGTCAAAATTGGTTCTATATTTGATTCCTAACACAACCCCAGACCCTCATGGTGTAGAGTATTCATTTCAAACAATAAGGGTAATTTGGTTTGGACTTTCAACTGCCCATTGTTGAGGCAGAGCCAATAAATCCAGAGATGAAAGCTTTTCCTGTTGGGCTTATAGTCACCATGGTCATGGCTTTAAGCCTTTCATCTAATTCTAATTGGAAAGATTCCTCAAACAAATTAAACAGGGGAAAGATTTTGAAAGAAGCCTGTGGATATTGTCTCATGTGCTTAATGAAAATTGGTTTCATTAGGTTCTTGCCCTACTTGACTTGAATTCCTAGGGATTGGAATGTTGTTTATCTTTGGTGAAGCAAGAACAGAGTAATTGGAAAGGAGTATATAGCATGTAGTCATTGTCATCAAAAGTTTGTATATATAGCTTCTTCTACAACTCTGCTATAAGAAGCTAGTAATTTTGTAAATTGTTTGTGATCTCCATACTACTATTACATATCTCCTGACAAGTACTTAAAAAATCACTTTCCATCTGAAGATGCAAACTCAGATATACAAATAAAAACTTCTAGAATGTCAAGGGTGTTTTCATAGAGATGGCATTATAAATTTATCTTAAATCCATTTGATGAGGGTTAAATGAAAATTGATACCCTTTCCCTGGGCGCAACCCATTTGCAGCTCCATACTTGCCACAGGCAACATCCACCTGAAAAAGAATACCTATAATCAGTCATATGAAATTAAGTGCATTCCTGTTGAATTAAATCAACCATACATACTGCACTTTCAGGACCAGCCAGCACCGCAAATGTGACATCACAAGATGCAGCGACTTCCTCTGGAGATGATTTATATCTGCAGAAATGTAGATGCTTAAAATTAACTGAAAATTCTGGGTTGAACTCCCCTAGAATAGTTTTGGTGATTACAGATCTCGAACAATAGCTACTCTGAAGGTAAATAAGCTCAATAATCCTATCCACTTGAAAAGAGCCCATTTGTCACTAGAAGCCTAGAACCATGTGAATCAATAATAGCATTTGCTGCTGAAAGTTCATTATGATAACAAGCTACAACAAACATGAGTAATTCACATTTTCCAGTATTTGCTAATTTTCCTCTAAAAAGGACTCCAGGGTATGAAATAGAAATATTAATTCATATGATGGAGCTAAGTGCATTCAGATCCTATATGTTCCAGGATATTTCAGTCATGCTGAAATCAGTAGGTTGTAACAATATAATCCAAGATATATGTCTTTCCTACTCAATTCAACTTGTTTCATGTCTGAGCAATACCATTTTGAAGAAAAAGAGAAGCATATACTGGATTCAAGTTCCTTGAGAACCTCTAAATATTATCTATGCAACCAGAAATGGCAGGTTTTCAATATATTCTGAACAGGAAGTGCAATGAGACATCTAACAGGTAATATATGAAAATATCCGTTAATCTAATAAGAAGTTTAATTGGTGACTTTGTGTAAAATCCTGTTGTTTGGTAATATCTAGATTTTGCAGGAAACCAAAGCACGAAAGGTATAGCTAATAATGAACTTTATGGCCTCAGAGTGGACATATCTGACAGTAGAAACTACACAGATGAAGTAAAGTTGGAATGGCACCCAAAATAAAAGGTTCTCCACTAAACATGAATTCCCACCATTAACTGGTGCATATTTCCTAAACTTGATTTCCCCAATATCTATACATTTAATAGGCAAATCCACAATCAAGGTCAAGGAAAATATAAGTAGCTCAAGCACAAAAGTGACAGAGAACAATATACTTTGGGAGAAAGAAAAATGTTCAAATGCTGAGGGGAAAAACATAAAATAATCAAATGGCTTGTATGCAACCATTTCATTGCCAACTTACTTTGCTCCCAAGCTGATGAGAGGATCACACTTGCTCTTGGTCCTATTCCAAACAGTCACATCACATCTACAACATACAAGTAAAGGAATTAAACTTTGGGAATATCCATTTCCCCAGCTTAGAACCAAACTTGTGAGTAGGAAAAAAAATATCATCACAGTTCTTGCATCAATACTCTGTAAACAAGATCATGATTTAATGATTTGCATTCCAAAAACCCATTACTCCAGGTACCACACTTCACAAGTAGAAAAAGAGTCAGTGGACTGGAAGAAGGAAATTTAGGCTCTCTTAAACGCATTTAAATTTTAAGCACCTTCTTATGCCATAAGCTCGTAAAATAATTCTTTAAGAGAATATTAATATTTCTCAATTATTGTTCTTACTACTTCATTAAACAATGCACAAATTTAAGCCAGCATGTTCTCTAATGCAATTCATCAGTTAAGGTAATCATAACATACCCAGATTTTATCAGATTTTGTGCCATTGGAGAGCCCATTATTCCAATACCCAAAAATCCTATTCGAGATGGAAGTTCCTCTGTTGCAAATACAATACAAGAAACATTTAAAGCAACAAATACGGAGAAAGAATTTTGATCAACTCCAAATCCATTCTTCTATTAGCAACTCAACTCAACTCAGCTTTAACCCCAATTAAAAATTTCCTTTAGAAAGTATATTGATAGAAGAAGACTTTCTTCTGCCTTTGGCCATCAAATGAACAGATAGGCAGAAACTCCAATACAACCAATAGAATGAAGGAAAAACAAGAGGGCCGCCGAATAAGAGCAGACAATCCTTTCCAGTTGCGTTAAACACTTAAACCCAATCTTGGTTGGAAAACGCCAACCCCCTTTAAAATAGCATTGATTTTAAGCTTCTTTTCAGAAGCGCAAATCTCCTTCATATTCCATAGTAGTAATAAGTTAATCAAATGAAGGAAACAGGCTTTCAGTTTATTTTAGAAGCAAAATTAACAAGTAAAAACACAAGTTTCTTACAATTTTGCTGCTATGAACCTCAATACATTCAGCAAAATCGAAACTAAAACTTGAATATTTGCACGTCGGGAAAAAATCAATTGAACCAGAAGTATTGTGATAAGAAAAGATAGACCTTTAGATGTTGCATTGGTAGCCTGAGAAGAAAAGGCGTTGGCAGAGACACAAAGGCGTGGCTGAGTAGGGAATGATGAGATGGGTGGGCCTGGCAAGCGGTTGGAAATACGGGGACAGAAGTTCGAGCACATTGCCACGGTAGTTGGAATGGCGGTTGATGGTTTCAGAACTATCGAAGAGACGTTATAGAAGTTGTTCTTGATGACTGCCGTCGCCATTTCTTTTCCTGTTTTTATCCCTCCAAATACCAAATGTGAGGTGCAACGATGGAATGTAAGGCTGGCAGCAGTGACACGAATTTCTTACTTCTGTGCAGACAGAGACGATTAGGATTAGAAATAGATAACTTATCTCTACCCACAACAAGTCAAGAGCCCCTACCTACGAGCCACAGAACAGAACACTACAGCCCTGTATTGATGTTTGGATATGGGATTAGGTCTACTAGTCCAAAGCAACCCGACGCATGAGCCCTAATTCCCTAAACACGGTGATAAATCCGGATTGCAAGTCTCTAACCTTTCGAGGGCTTTCGTGTTCAGGGATAAGTGTATTCTACCAATAAAATGCTTCCAACGTTGTCCCAACAGGCCACTGTAGCATATATTGGGATTTGGGAACATATCCTGAATGCTCTAGTTGTTTAAGGGGTTATGGAATCAATGATAAGGTTTTACATCAGTAATAAATTCATGGCTCGTATATTTTATTATTGTACACGAACCCTTATCATTGGTTCTACAACACCTCTTGACCTAGAATTAAGCGTTATTGGCACAATGTATTAGTAGCTGATTCAAACTTGTATTCGGCAATGTCATTGGCTGGGGCAAGAGGAGTTTCAGCAACTCTAAAATAATATGAGCTCCCTCTGCTAACTCGATGATTTTACAACACCTCTTGACCTAGAATTGTAAAATTGTAGCAAAGACCGGGATCTCTAATTCATTCAATTGTAGCAGAGACTTGGGATAAAAATCCCACTATCACCAAGGTTAGGAGATTAAGGGGAGAGGGATTGTCTAACCTCATGACTCTTCTACTCATTACGGAGCCACTAATATGAATTATTTTCAATTTTCAATTTTTTAAAATCATGTATATTAAAATTTTAAGTTAGGTTTTTCATTTGATGTTTTGATAGATTTTTATTTAATTTAAGAGACTTACCATATATTTATCTAGCATGTGATTCTGTTATGGGGTAGTCACACATATGTATCAATTTGGTTTTTACTCTTTTTTTGTTTTTTTTTTATAGTAATATTATTTTATTTGAGTTTCACTATTTGTCTAATAATTATATTTATATTTGAAATTCAAATAAAACTAATTATTGAAATTGCAGACGATAGACTGGAGTGGTTGTGGATAACCACTTTTACATTTTCTGTATTTCTTTTAGCAATGAATGAGAATGGGAACTTCCCACTTCTCATGTATTTCTAAAGAACTATTATTGAATGTATGACACTTATCTTAAAGTGTCACGTGTATGAATTCAATTTTTTTTAAGGCTTAAAGCATATTTCATTCATTCAAGAAATTGATACAAGTATAGAGAATTGCCAACAAGGCCAATGAGAACCCAAATACAATTTCTCAAGAAGAACAAAATATATAAATGGATGAAAGAGAATATAACGAGCTTATGCAATAAAAAAAAAGGTGAATTAAAATCACCAACAAAAGTATATAAGTACAACTCCAATCCAACAAAAATGGCAAAAGAAATGATAGGAGAGGTTCCCAAAAGAGACTGCAAGGAGCCGGTAATAGGATGGTTGGGGTAGGTCTGCAAAAGACAGCAAAGCCCCAAACATTACAACCGTTACCAGAGATTGTAACTGCTTTCCATAACTACATCCGCCAGAGAACTGTGAACGGAATTGATCATGAATTGCATCTGCCAAAGAACTGCGAATGGACGATAAAGCGTAAAGCAACATCCACTGGATCGAATGCCCGATACATGATCCAAGAGAAAGTAACCCCCTTGTCAAAATGCTTGTAGAAAGAGGAAAAAAAAAGCACAAAAAGAGGTGAATAATGGAGAGAACTAGATGGGAAAGGCGAGGGAAATAGATGGGAGGAAGAACAATGTGAAGAATGGAGAGAACCAAATGAGAGGAATAATGAAGAATTAAAGCAGGGGAGGAGGGAAGAAAAGAAACAAAAAAAAAGAAGAGAGAGAGAGAGACAACAAGATGCTTTTAATGTATATGATGAATGGGTTTTCTCTTTGAAAATGTGAACAACCAACTTTTGAGATGTTTTTTCCATAGATTTGAGGTTGCCATGTGATGAATCAATTTTTGGGTTGTGTATCAATTTTTTGTGGTAAGTACCTCGTCATTTGGTCTGCTTCCAAGTGGCCGATGACTCAGAGGCCGAAGTGAACTTTTACTAGACGAGGACCTAGATGTCGAGCTGACCAGGCCGAGCTGGGGGCAGATTAGGTGCCGAGTTAACTGGGCCGAGCTAGGCAAGTTAGGTGCTGAACTGACTGGGCCGAGCTAGACAGATTAGGTGATGAGCTGACTAGGCCGAGCTAGGTAGGTTAGGTGACGAGCTGGCCAGAGGGCCGAGCTGCCTGGTGGCGAGCTGGATTGATTGTTGAGCTTCGTAGTTCTTTAGAAACCTGCAAGGAATCAATGTCAGAGGACCTAGGGTGGCTAACCCAGCGAGGTCGCTCTGATGCTTAAGTCAGTACTCTCATAGCAGACCGCGAGCTAAAAACCACAAAGTATGAGAGCTAGAATATGCGTACTCCCCCCCCCCCCACAATGCCAATGGGGTTGATGCCTTTATATAGGCATTGTTTGGCGTGGGCTTCACGCACTGCATCTGAAATTTCTGTGAGGTCGTCTAAATGGTTCGAGATTCCCAGAGGTAACCGCCATGCACGTTGACCACCCTCCGGATCGTTTGGCACGTGGGCCAACTTCCAAGGATCGTGGGAGTGTTAGGATATGCGTGCCGAATTTGTCGACGAGCACGTCTCGCAGGCCGCCAGCACATGCCTGGGCCAGGCCACCGGGTGGGACACCACCAACTTGGCTAAGGCAAATTGTTGCCTAAGTGGTTCCGGGTGTCACCTAATTGTTCTGATGTGACATGTGTCACAATATCATTGGAGGGCCAAATCCGCCCTCATCACCATGTGCTTGAATGGTGGGGGACTATGGCCTAAAGACCTTCCTTTAATATATACTAGATGGGTTGAATCATTGAAAGAGAAGTATAAGTTAAATCATAGGCATGTGTTTAGTACCATTGCTGTTTTTATGTGAAATGTTTCAAATTGATCAATACAAATTGGCTAGAGATATTTATTGTGACCAATGTTTAAAGTATAGATATATCTGATACACATGGACATGTATATCAAGTGTTTCAACTATTAACATTTTATATTTTATTTTTCATATGTTTAGAGGGGATGATATTAATGTAGTTTGACATTTATCAAAAAGATATAATATGATTGTAACATCTTACACACATATAGTATGATTGTCATATTTTGAAAGTTCGCCAAATTACAAGATACTGATAAGGAATTTTCCCTTTCTATTAGACAGCTAGAAAAAAGAATGTTGTGACCGGCTGCTGGGACCTGATCCGAACTCTAACGGAGAGTTCGGTGGATCCCGCTCATGGGTGACCGGCCCGAAATCTTAAACCTAATGTCGAAATTCCGTTCAAAATAAATAATATTTCGTATCGGTCACAATGTCCGAAACCGAGATTCCAAGAATATCACGTTTCACCAACATTTAAAACCGTATATCGGAGGCGTCACCTTTTAAAAGCGAAATATTCAAATAGTAGTTACTCCTCATATTTGTTTTCGTTTTTTCTTGCAGGAGCGCGGTGTTTTTTACACAGAGATTTCCGTAACCCAAGCCACAGAAAGTTCCGTCTCTTGCGTCGTTTAGTCAGAAGAGGAGAACCCTGGAAGTCTGTAACTCATTGAAATCCTTCTTTGATAAGCCTTCGATAGGGAGGTATTTCGTCCGAGGGTCTTCAGTCTTTTTAGGGTTTTTTATTTTGATGACCTCAAGAAAAAAGTTCTAAGTCCTATGAAATAATATTTGCTCGTTCGCAGGTCTATAGGTACAGACAAAAGGAAAAAAAAACATAGAAAGAACAGAAAATAAGCCATGGGCATTGCGGAAGAGAAACGAAACAGAGATGATAACGTCCCCATTAGCGGCGAAAGTGAGGAAAGACATTTTGAGGGAGAAACTAGTGAAGAACCATATTTGGAACGCGGGACCGGAAGTGTATGTAGTGCAAGCGATGAGATAAAGCAGTCAGATATCCGCGGTTCCCTCCAGGGTTAGTTTTAAGGTCTTAGGATTTTATAGTATGGATTATAGAACTCTATATGTGCTTGTGTTAGAAATTTTGGTTTATTAGATTTAGGGAGAGAGGGTTCTCGCGCTGAAAGTCAGCCCTCCCAAATTTACCGCGAAAATGAGGAGAAAAGGAGAATAACCACTGTACTTTTCTTGTTTTCGAATCTTCGTTGGTGGCCTTGCCCGCGACACGACAGAAGGTACAGCCATCGTTATTGCCTCTCGTTTTATAAGCTTATAAATGCAATATTTTGTGTCTTATATTTCTTAACCTCTTAGTCGGATCGTTGGTGGTAATATGGTATTGTGAATCTTTGATAGTAAGATGTTATCGTGATTCTCTAGTAGTTTGATTATGATTTTTTCCCATCGTTTCGAGGACGGGCATAACTGATAACTATTTCCAGTGGCAAATTTGGATAAGAATTGTGGTCCATTTATAATTGTGCTTATTTAGGAACTGGTATGCAGAGAATGTCGTGAGTTCATTGTTGCTGAAACAGATATTAATAGAGTTCATTGTTGCTATTGTAGCAAAGGTCCTATTATCTAAGGCTGTGCCTTTTTTTACCTGGGGTGGTGCTGGAAGCGGAAATGCAGGAGGGAAACACCGAATTGGTGGATTCTGGAATGACTACCCAACTAATAATCCCAGAACACACCAAATGAAACAAAGAAGAAAGAGTCAAAGACACAATCCATTTGTCTTCCACATTCAATGTGGCTCAACTTTTGGAGCCAAACAATGCAATATGGAAACTGGTGGATTTGAGACTCCTTTATCATTCTCCTTTTCCTTCTTTTTCCCTAACCCAGGAATAGCCTTATATAAGATGGTTTTTGGCAGATCCCATCATGACATGCCAGCTTCCATTTTCTTGAGGAAAGGATGGATAGTGAAGTTGTTCTCCAAGAGGAAGTAACATTTTTAGAGATATTCTCATTTTATGGGGAATAAAGGGGATCCATCTACGAGAAACTTATACCATGCTGCACAAAGTCTCATCATTTAAGGAGAAAAGGTCAAAGTAAAATAACTCATTGTTTTGTTGGCACAGGGAGGGACTGAGCTTTCTGCTTGATGTTTAAAATGGCGTGGCAAAATTCTAGGGTTGGTAAAATGATAAAAAATGAACACTGCATCCATATGGAAAGCCTTAGGATAATCATGGATGGTAGCATAAGGTGTTCACTCTTCTATCCAGTTATCCCTTTTTTGGTGAGGTGTAGGAAGAAGGTGCAGGTTATCTTGTCCTGCATGAAACGGATGATTTATCAGTAACTAATGCTAGGTACATGTAGGATTTGGAGAATGACCATAATTTCTGTGTCAAGATCTTGCTTTTATGTGTAGATTGATGTCCTAGATTTGAATGCTGTAGCAGAAACGATGGAAGACATGAAAATTTGGAGAACAACCATAATTTCTATTTAAAAATATTTCTTTGATGCAAGGTCTATACTTCAGTTTGTAGTTTGATGCCCCAAAGGTGAATGGTATGACAAAAAGGATGTGGAAAGTGTAAGTTGTCTTTTGCTAACAAACCTCTGGTAGCATCAAGAAGAAGAAATTTGTCTGATGAGCAATAGGGCCTAAAAACCAGGCCCAAGCTCAACTAATAAGGGGTCTCTGTACTTTCTCAAGAAAGGAAAGGGTTTTTGTCTGGTGAGAAATGAGGCCTGAAAACCTGGCCTAAGCTTGACTCAAAGATGCATTCCAATAACCAAAGCCTAGCTGACTTGCAATTCTAATCCATGATATCCTAGACTCCTAGTTACCCTTCAAAAGAAAAAGTAGAATAAAGATCTCATCCATTTAATCACCACTAAAGTTAATCTCCATTTTAACTCTCCATAATCCTGAGGCATACTGTACTCTCAAACCCTGTAGCGATGTTAAAACCTTGATTTAATAGTTGTTCCTTTCCTATTTGGTCCGCATAAAGCAGCAATTATATTCTGTCTCCCTTAATGTGCCTGCTATGCAGATGGTCCTGGTCTAATAGTGTTATGGACGCATTTGTGGGGAAGAAGTACCGCTGCCGGCAGCAGCAGTAATGTGGGACCCTCATCAGATTATCTAGCTAGCCACAGTTCATCTTACCTTATCTTTATCTTATCTGCTTTCTTACTCTTTATCTTATCTGTTCCAATAAGGATTAGTATAGAGTCTGATTTATCTTAGGGAGTTTTTATCCTTCTTGAGTAGGGAGTCTTATCTA